TGTTCCAGCACTTTGTATCACCTTTCCGTAATGGAGTCATGATACCCAATTTGAAGATACTTCCCAAGTTGTACAGCATAGAGGGGTCCTTATGATAGCCTCCGGGAGTCGTAAAAATCTCACTGACGAGCTAGCTAAAAGGACAGTTGATTGGCCTTTACAATGCTTATAGTTTCTCCTCAAAGAGCCAGATCTGTGTGTCTCTTATTGAAAGGGAAGCAGTTATAGTAAGAATTCAAGCCAGGTAAAGACATTACTGCCGAAGATACTTCTGAAGCGAACATTTCTGCATAAGGGAATGCTAGTGTACAAAGCTGTTGGCCAATGTGATGATACGCCCCCCCCCCCCAGCCATAATCACACCACACGCCTGCAAACAATCACTCTAAAGCATCTGCCCCCGAGGCATACATTCTCGTCCAATCCCTCGCAACCATCTCAAACATCGCCCGATTATCCAAAAATATGCTCCCCGCGTCCTCATTCGCAAAGCCATACACAACATTACCACCTTCCACCCCCATCCCCGGATCCCCCAACATAGCAGAAAGCGACAGCAGAACGGTCCGCACAGAAAGTGCCTGACTCCACTCATCTTGCAAAATATTCAAACAGACTTCCCCGTACGGACCAATGTTTGGATGCCAGATCTTCGTCATGAACATGCATACCGGTGGTAGATCGGGATACAATGGTGGGATGCGGATGTGGATATGAAAAAGGCCTCCTTCGTAGAGACTGCCGACTGGACCGGCTATTGTGCCGATGATATCGAAGAGGTGGTCGGGGCTGACGGGGCGGAATGAGATGAAATCGCATTGTGGGGATGCTGGGCCGTTTTTGGTGGCGGCGAGATATTCAGCTCGGATACGGCGGAGGGAGTAGCATGGGATGGGTGTAGTGAGGTAGGTTAGGGCGGTCGTAATAGAGAGGTGGTTTTGGTGGTGGATGATGTCCATTTTGGGGTGTTTGGTGGGGTTTCTGTTTGGTTGTTTGATAGTTTGACGTTTAGGGAGTTTGTGTGTCTTGAAGTTGCAGTTTCTTTGGATTCTGAGCTATTTTATTTCCTCGTGGTGATGATTACTCACTCTTTTGAATATAGATTCTAGATGTAGGAGGGTATGCATGGCTGGTGTGAGTAATTTACATTAAGCGGTAGGGAATTGTATTGCCACAGGCTTCCAGTGAATCATCAGTCGAGATCGAAGACTTCTTTATCCTTTTATTCATTCACCTGCAACATTCTCCCTTAGTTATCCACTTCCAGTCTGTGAATGTAACACACAGGTACTGCAATTGCATGTTACTATATTATCTATATAAAGACGCACCCATCAGTTATGCCAATTGCCTGTCTGATAATCTATCCCACCTGTGAAGGAAAGAGTTCCTTTCAAATATCAACATTGGAAAAGATTGAAGTCCCTTGAGAACTAGCCGCTCGACAATTCTCTTCAGGATGGGTAATTGCGCGCTGTGCTGATTACCATTCATTGTGGCTACCGCGTAGGCCACCTGAAGAGGCAGGATTGTAGAAGCAGGACCGAAGAGTTTCATTTCCTCCTGGAGAAGATACTCCATGCTTTCGCATATCTGCCTCATGAGTGTCTCTGAACTTTTTTGGACACTTTCAATTTGTTGTTCCTTCAAAATCCTCAGGTATTCAAAGCTCCGCTGTGGGAGATACGACGAAAGGCGCTCCATCTCGCAAAGACATATGATACGAAACGCCCAGATATAGGTGATTGCGTTGGCCATGGTAATACTAGGAAACCAGATACATGGGATTTCTTCTGCATCCTGATCTCGGTACCAGTAGAGGGGAGACGTCGCATTGTTAAATTCAGATGCCTCCCATTCATCTAACCTGTTCAACAAGTCCTCAAAGCATTTCAATATGCGTATACACTCGCATTGGTTTTGATTCGAAGCACCTGGACTAGATAAGTTGTCCAATGTATGTAAAATCGTTGGTAGCGCAGCGGCCTGACTAAGAAGGCTTTGCATTGGGGATGGGCTAAGTATTGCAAATGGGGTCGTCTTCCAGTTATCTGATCCCAGAAAAGATGGATTTCGGCATTGAATTGCGTTTATCATCTACAAGGCATTAGAAATACCCCCCAAAACTGGGATGTACTACTCACCAATAACGGGCGGAAGCCGATGAATAACCTGTGGGCAACTCCCGTTTGATAGCGCTGGGGTCCATTTGCCTGAAGGATCTGCGCCACGGCATCTATATGCATCTTTAAACCTTCACTTGGCCCAGGAAACATAACCTAACTTTTCATAAGCAAAGCGCACCCTGAAAGTAGATACCATGAAGCAGGACCAACCTCTGCCAAGCTGAGGCACATTATTGACGCTAGTAGCTCTCGATCTGACGACATTTTCGCCGTGCTGAGCTCTTTTCGCATCAATTTGAGTGCGTTAAGGTAGCTGTGCGTGCTGTCAACACCTGAGACCCTTTCTGGGAACCCCCGGGACATAATTGAGGTGGATAAAGCTTTTGAGGCAGCGAGAATGATATTAGAATCAGTGTTTTCGCTCAGACTGGGAAGAACTTCGACCCATGAGCCACATATGCGAGGCCGTGGCTCATTAGAGATAATGCCAGGGAGCTCTAACTCTTCGTCGGGCACATAGCTCCTTATGATGAAGTCAACCTGCTCGGCACAATGCAAGTTGTAGCCTGCTTCTGAAGTTGGAAGCAAATGAGTTTCTTCCAACGGTCGAAAAGCAATGTTCGATAAGGATGATTCATGTTCTGCAGTGTCTCGGGGGCTGTGATCCCGATTTGATAGGTTCGATGGTGATCTTCTACTCCGGGCGGGTTGTGATTGGCTCTGTACGAAGGACCAGTTCACTGGGTACCCCGGACATTGGCGGCCTGTTAGTAGACACTGACTACACTCAGGTGCCTTTCCGTCGCACTATGCATGAAATGAGATTCCTTCTCCGGAGTAGAATGGTGACCTACGTACACCAAGTTTCCTCGATCTGCAGTTTTGGCAAACGGACCGTTGCTTGACCCTCATGGCTATCTACACCAGCAATAAACGTTGATCGTAACAATACCATCCAATCAAATAGAGTGCGAACAGTCAGCCCAGATACCCTAGGGATGCAGAATAGACCCAAACTAATAGTGGGGATAGTATGCAGGTCGATGATGCTTGATGGAGGCGAATGCAACGCCTGAACACTCCAGCAATGCGTGCATTTGGGTGTTAAGGATGTGTCAGCTATTACATAAGTTGTGTTTAACATTCGGCCTATGCTATGAAGGACGGTGGCTGGTAGATACTTAGTATACAACGTCTTTACACTTGATCAATAATGGTAACTGAAATTTTGCAGAAACAATTTGTATCGATATGTGTTTATTTCCGGGTATCATACAGACGACACAGGAGCCTAGGCTATCAAGTAGCCATGCAAACATTTCTCGGGTCTATCAACGGAATACTGCGAGAGATGATCACAGCAAGTGCTATTGAAGAGAATCCCGAGCTTTGACAATTCAACAAGATGCATTAAGCGGCTCCTTAAATTGATCATTTCCCTTAATTTTCACCCACTTTTCTAACGACATCATTGACAGAAAACATCGAGGATGCATCTGCAGGAGGTATTCTACAAAATAGAATCCGCGGACAGTGCGTTTGGTCTAACCTAAAACGGAAGTATATTCCGCCAAGAAATCGAGACGAAGAATAGCATGGCCTTATTCGCCACTTTCAGCCCCTACGCTATTCGAGTCGGTCATGGCTCCAAATGAGACTTCATTCTCATCTAGGTACCCCACCTCTCGAAGTGCGGAATACTGAGTAATATAATAAGCGTCTTTGTCTATAAGTAGGTTTGTTTGTCTGTTCACATCCTCTTTCCGTCTCACACATCAGACACGATATCCTACTCTTCACAAGACTAGCATTACTCGTCAGCCAATACTTTCTATCCACCACCCTGTTACCATTCATCACAATGTCTTCTTCCTCCCCAGCAAAATCTCTCCGCCAACTTCTTGGTGCTCCTCCATCAACCGCTTCAGTCCAAGACTCCACCCTGATCATCATCGACGCTCAAAATGAGTACGCTTGCGGCCACCTCCAGATCGAGGGCGTCTCTGACAGCCGCAAAGTAATTTCAGACCTTCTGGCCAAGTATCGCACCAACGGTACTCACAACGGCAGCAACATCATCCACGTTGTTCACCAGACCCCACCAGGCGCACCTGTCTTCACACCGGGCACACACCTAGAAAATGAGTTCGACGAACTCGCTCCTGTGTCTGGGGAGAAAGTTATCAGCAAGAACTTCCCTAGTTCTTTCGCCCAGACGGAATTGCACGAGTACTTGAGCAGTCTCGGAGCTGTTGGGAAGAAGATCGTGCTGGTTGGCTATATGGCGCACGTGTGTGTCTCTACGACTGCCAGGGCTGGCAATGAACTTGGTTATGAGGTTGTAGTCGTGCGTGATGCGGTGGGCGATCGGAATATTCCTGGAGTGGAGGCTGCAACTTTGAAGGATGTGGCGTTGAGTGAGCTGGAGGATGCTTTCGCGACGGTTGTCTCTGCTCGTGATATTACTGCCTAGAGCATTATGCTAGTTGCGTACACTACATTCGACTATGTGCTTTGTCTCATACCGAACCTTCTCTTTTCTACATACATATCATAGGTATAATCTAGCTACTGCATAAATATGAAGGACGGCGTGGACGCGGATATTGTTATTAATACATGTGAAGTTGAGAAGGGCATTGAAACTGATAGATGGTAAATTGTTGAACAATCACATAGAATCTAGACCGCAGTAAACAAAAGCCCACAAACAATTATGCTTCTTAGCTAGATACTTATATTCAATGAATGACTGCCAATTTTGTTGTTTGAGTGTAATATGCGCAAAGCATGCAGTGAGGCTCGAGCAATATTCAAATCAGGGACAGCTTGGCGGAAGTAGTTGGCTTTATATGATGAAAGCGTTTATCTCAGATGCGTGTAACTGAAGTTCGAGGAGCAGGTGCTGATCGAGTAAAATTACGACTGGATGTAAGGAATTTATTCTAATACAGATGTCTCCCCACCTTAGTATTGGTCGATCGGTGCTGGTCTTATGATTCATCGTCATAGCATTTTGCCAGATACTTACTTGTCATCGTATGTGTCGATCTGATTCTGACCAGTGCGCACGCGGGAGACACGAATGCGTAAGCACTAGTACGCTACGATCGACGCTGATAATAAGCACTAATCATGTACACAAGGCTGTCATTCTATGGCTAACAGGATAAGTAGGCCAGTCTCTTCCCTCACATTTGTCTCGCCGCGACCACCGAGAAGTACTACCCCACAGCTTCATCCTCATCTCCCTGTGACCGTGAATATATTATATGTATCCCACCATCCCCAACAGATCCCAACGAAAAGCCGACTTCTTTATATAAACATCACAAAGACACATCCACTCCAGCAATGCCCACCACTCGCTACTTCACCCAAGCTCCCCCCCTTCCCCGCTGACACGCCGACCATCGACCTTCCCATTCTCTCATTTTCGGACCTACGATCCGGCAACCCAACCGAAGGAGAGATGTTGTTTGCCGCCTGCCGCGAATGGGGATTCTTTCTAATCAACTTACACGACTCCGCAGAAGGCAGGACCCTCCTCCACGATGCAGAAACCATGTTTGATCTCGGCATCGAGCTCTTTTCCCTCGACCAGACAACACTCGACCAATACGCTTACAACGCGCCCAAAGACCTTACAGGCTATAAGCGCATGGGAGCACTCAAAACCGACGACGGCAAGCTCGACCACATGCACATTTACAACATTAACCAGGACGATATCCTGGGTAATCGTGCTCCCCGAACCAACGCACCCCCGATCGAGGCACAGCGCCCCCAGATCCAGAATTTCATCCGCCACGCTTCATCAACTTTAGATGTGATTCTTAAAACGCTGGATGACCATCTCGGTCTCGAACGCGGTACACTGAGCAAACTCAGTCCACTAGATCAGGAGTCCGAGACCTCTGTCCGCTTACTATGCAGTCCTCCCCACGCATCCAGTGAAGCGAATCAAGATCGCATTTCGTTGGGCGGACACACAGATATTGGGACAACGACGCTGCTATTCCACGTTATTGGAGGTCTGCAGATCCTCCCTGCGGGGCTCGAGAATAAGATGGAGAATTGGCGTTTTGTTCGACCCGTGCCGGGCTGTGCGCTGGTCAATATTGGTGATACTCTGGTAGAGTGGACCGGTCAGCTGCTACGGAGCTCCTTGCATAGGGTCCTAGCTGCACCTGGAGAACAGGCATTCGTGCCAAGACGGAGTGTGGCGTATTTGGTCAGGCCGGCGAAGTCAGCATCCATGCGGAGAATCCGTGGAGGGAAGATACCGGTGCTGACTGAGGGAGAAGAGGAGGAGACGAGGTCAGTGGACGAGTGGGCAGCTTGGAGGTCGAAACAGGTTATGTTGGGGCTGTTGAAGCCGCAGACGAAAGGAGGGGTAGTTCCTGTCTAGGGGTACGTATACAGGTTTCGTCGGGTAGACAGCACAGCACAGCATACCCCACTCGCCAGACCCCTTCGAATGCACAAGTGAGACCTGGTGGTCACCCACTCATGCACTAATCTCCCGGCATGTGGCTCGTGTGCGGTCAATACGCGGGTGGGTGCCTCCTAAACCGGCGCCGTCGGCGCGAGGGACAATCTACAGGCAGTGGCTTATGTGTCTGTCATAGCCCACGGCTTCATACGGACGTTGACCTTGATTATCAGTGAAATAATAGTAGTTACACCCTTCTGGACTGAGATCCATCATCCTCGGAAGGTGCTAGGGTGGCAATGGCACATCTTACTAGTAGTGTGGGACTAGATGAATATAAACTGGTATCGTTGCCCCTAGCCCTACAATTATTTGGAAAGGGCTACTTCACATCCCCTATGCACCATTTTGCTGGACTAGATGAAATATTTGCCAGGGACCGTTTACGCTGTTAGTACATAGTCAGTAAGTAGATACATGCGATGTCACGTTCAACGGTGAAAGACCCTGAAGGGGACTCTAATGCGATGACCTTCATGGTTGACAGCCATCCCAACCCACTAAGCTACTCTGGGGAAATCAGAACCGAATGCACTCCATTCTCCCCTACAATTTACTCGAAAATATGAGACCTTATGACTCAAATAGAAATCCCCAACACTGCTGCTACACCGACACGCATCACCCGGATCGACTCGGCTCGATTCCGTTAAGGTGTACAAAACCTTACAGAAAGCGTCAAGGGACCAGGTGACCGACCCCTTAGAGCCTGCAGTGACGTAATGGTAGAACCTCACCAGGGACAGGGAAGTGATCCTAGGGTTTGATAAATATATAATATATAAAAGATTGTTTATATTAAAAATATTGTTTATCTAGGGGTCTGTCACTTGTGTGACTGTGTCAGTATATTTGTATAAATTTAGTTATATAATTAATACCCAGGCTGCTATATAGAGTATCATTTTACACTTGCTCTACTATATACTTTGAATACTTGATATTACCACCCTCTTTTGCTGCATTCTTTTGCTTCATTTTGTTTGCTTTCGCTGTATCGCGTGTGCCTTGACAAAAGGTTTCTGGCTAGACTACATCAAGTAAAGAATGGAAACCAGTATAATCCGTGAATTCAGCAACAGCACAACATGACGGTAAGGTAGAATAATGCTGGACAGGTGATCGGTACAACATACAAGCTAGGCTCGTATATATGTCACTCTGGGCGCTTCTATGTAAAGTAATATATTAACTCGTCACGGATTCTTTGTCGACTGCTTCTCAAATACAATGCTTGTTTCCTCCAAGCTTTTCTGCGAAGTTTCTGGCAGCCAGACAATGCCCCATACAAGACCTATTGATGCAACAGCAAAGAAGAACCAAAATGTCCCCTTGGGCTGTAAAGCATCATCAAGCATCATACTTGGTAGGGCCTTGGTATCGATTAGCCTCGTCAAGAACAGCTCAATTATAGCGAAATGTAGTAAACTTACCTTCACCAGTGCGAACTTATTGGCATAATGAACACACATGAGGAGACTTGTCCCCAGTGTACGAACTTCTGAAGGAAGAATCTCAGCATTTATCAGATATTGGATGCAATTCCATCCGAAAGCATAGCCGACTCCTGTAACATATAGAGCAGCCACGGAACCGGCAGCTGCTCTAAGCGCATTACTGGAGTCTGGCTTGCCAGCTGCATCCCAAGCTGTCATGAAGATTGCAATATAGAGCAAAGCGAGGAGCTGAAGTACGATTCCTCCTAACAGGGTACGTTTTCTTCCAAAGCGATCAACGAAGAAGAATGCGCTAATAAGCGCAGAGACCAGTTTCACTACTCCAAAAATAGCTGTTTTGAACAGTTTTTCGGACTTCCCAGTCACATTCAACAGCGCAAAGAACTTAGGTGCGTAAGCTATGCCACTGATGTCAGCCTTATGCTTAGAGGAGTAAGGGGTAGAAGTAATGAACCCACTTGTGATAGCATTTGTTCCGGACCATTGACTGAGAAGTTGCGCAGACAAAAGAAACATCCATCGCTGGAGATTGGCTCTTGCAAAAAGTGCTTTCCATTGCCTTAAAAAGGACCACTTGGACTTGCCCGTGGTTTTCTTTGAGGAAACCTCACGCTTAATACTTTGTACCTCTTCAATAATACGGGGATCCTCTGGGCTATAACCCCGCAGCTTAGCAAGAGTTATTGTAGCCCTTGATACGTGACCACTGTAGATCAAATATCTAGGACTCTCAACGCAGCCGATTGAGAAAAGTAGTAACACCCCGGCCACCATGATATGGATGCTTTCTGGTAGTATCCATTGCGTGTTGCTATCGCCGGATATATGAAGCGAGGCACCCCAACCGGAAAAGTACTATGTCCATTAAAATATGGGATTAGCGAACGAATATTCCTCAGTTGATTTCAGACACTGACATACCCCTATCAAAACACCTACATATTCCGATGACGCATAGAGACCGACCAATAGACCTCGAGAAGCCGTTGGTGCCACCTCGGCTAGGTAAATTGGTCCAACAACACCAGCCTGACCGACACCCATACCCATGATAAACCGACCAGCAATGAGTTGACCCATATTGCCAGCCGATGTAATGAAAACAACCACGCCGATGACCCAAAGCAGGCATAACTGCCGCATGGTCCATAGTGGGCCAATCCAGTGAGTTGAGAAAAAAGCTAAAAGGCCCCCAGGCAGGCTGCCAAGGTGCATCATGGAAGTGACATTGGATAACCTGCTTGCTCTTGCTGCAGCACTAAGATAACTTGCATGAAGCTGATATTCCTTGATGAAAGAGGGCAGGTCAACAACCGTTGCGATAATACTTTCATCCAAACCCTTGGCTGAGCCCAAGAGGCCGAAGGCCACTGAAGCGCAGATAATGTGAATATTGAAGTATTTCATGGTTATAATAGTCCATGGAATATTATAATGCTTAATAGGTCTCAACTACGGCGAAACCAATTTTTATAAATGTTTTGGACGCGACTTCTGAACTCACCTCTATAGTGCTAAGTCGGCAGTGACCCCAAGGTCCTCATTCATTAAGCCACTAAGAAGCCTGACAGGTCCTCGTTGATAACGAACTTTCATACCTAGCCGATAGGGCTGGACATCGCGTATGTGTCTCATTTCAGCTTATTGGCCTTCAGAGAGATCCACTGATATTTGCCGGATAGTTGAATCGCACAATTTTTGTATCAAAAATTGTCGCTTATCAATCCAACCTCTAAGAATCTTGCTTAATGAGAAGTCTCTACCTCTTCTCCTCAACAAAAGGGGCTTTCCCACAGCCGACATACCCTCCCGTGGGACCCACTTCTGGGGCAAAATTTGGATGCAGTAGGCTAGTAGCCTTATTGCAGTGGGTCTTTCCATAGGGCTGAGGCCTCTAACTGATCGAACAGAGAGACATGCAGGTGCACTATAATTGCCGCATACCCGATAACCACTACTATCTCTACGGGCTGTTGTGGGCTCAAGCCTTTTCAAACCAGGTTTTTGCGTAAGCCTTGAGCGCCCTCTCCGGCAGTCTCAAATCCCGAACCCAGTCAATCAGAAACACGTCTTAAATGGTCGGAATCCTTTTGGAGACTATATCCTCCATATATCGCCGAGCTTGTCTGTACCTTTGCCTGCGTCCATCGCAATGCCGCCTACTGAGGCTGCCAGCATGCCACCGGTCATCTCGCACCGGCCTCTCATTCTAGTTTTCCACCAATGAAAATGGACGCGTTGAGTCTCCTCGAATCCCATTCGACTCATATTCCATTCAGAATAGATTAATGCGTGGAGAATCCCAGCGAGCTTAGGGGTACGCTAAGATGCGCAGACCGGTTCTTTACGGTCTAAGCTCCGTGCCCGGGCTGGTCGTCAGAAACGGCCATGGCTGACATCTTCCCATTCACGCCTCCCCTGCCTGCCCTCTGGAAGACTATGAATGCCCGTGTGAGCGGCAATCTCCCACGTACTCCTGTCTGATATTCTGCAAGATTGAACTGTCCACCCAGTTCTTTCGCTATGTTCGTTCCTCTGCTGCTGGCGGCGCTGCCGACTCTATTCCATGTCGCGCTCACCTATCGCGAGGCGGACATTTCTTCTCTTTTGAATGGAAATAAACACTAGGAGATATGACATATTAAGAGCTCACCACATCCTATCATGCATATTTTTAATGCCCTTTTGAATGGCTTCCCCCTTAGTTGAGTCTCATGAATTCCGCTGTGAAAATATCGATAGTATCCATCATGGGTTAGAGATATTATCAGAAGATCATGTACAATCTCGTGCTATAAACTGGGGAAGCCAGGGACGGAATGACCCAGATTATCTCAATAATTGTTCATAGGAAAGCGCTGGGTACACTGACATCGCTTCAGACCCTCATCCCAGCCCGAATATTGGTGGGGTATGAAGCTGTAGCTGAGTGAGACGCCACCATGTGATCACAGAGCATATGATCCACTCTTTTGTGAAAACTAATGTCTTCAGTCAGTGCCTTAGGTCAGTGGAGGGCTGAGTGTCAGGGCTTGGCATTGATCTTTTAGGCCCCAACCAGATCTGCCTGTTCAGATCGCGATCGAATGTGCTTATTTGGTACGGTGCTTTGTGCTGCTTGCTGCGCGGTATACGCCGTTGGAGAGGGGGCACAGGATCCAATTCAAGAGGATTTGGCATGAGAGTAGAGTGAAGATTTTGCAAGGGGTTAAAGAAGAGGTCTTCTAATTTCTGGCTAATTTGCGCTAAATGGGCCGAATACCCAGCCCTAGAAGAGTAGTCTAGTTAGTAACACGCCACTCCGCCCAAACATTAACACAAAGTAAAAGCAGAAAAACACATTATACACTGTTAAAATGGCTATGGGAGCAAATTAGTATACAATAGTTCTTCTTGCTGCCCTTGCTTTCCAAGCTGGTTAAGTCAGTGTGGTGACGTCTCAGCAAACAGACCAACCTCATCACCTGCAACAAAGTCTAGTACACTCTAACCTTGATTTTTCTTCCCTTTTCATTATTACAATCACTGCGTAACTGCCCTTATCAATGGTATTCTTGATATAATCTGTCACATACGACCATAGGGTGTGGAAAACAGGACTTCCCGTCCGCTCAGCCGTACTTAAGCCACACGCCGGGAGGTTAGTAGTTGGGTGGGTGACCACCAGCGAATCCCTTCTGTTGTATGTTTTTATCTTTTTTATATGATCTCCTATGTCAGGAGATAACAGTTTGTTCGTATGTTAAGGAGCCGCGTGAGGATTGTGGTGGATATATTGCATACGAGTTTTGAATCGTTGTCTCCGCTGGATGCTGTTCAGTCATCTTGAATATACCCTTCTGCCTTTTATTCATCAGTTGTATATTCCATCGGCAGGCTGTAATAAGGATCCACACAGAGGACAAGACATTATATTATTCGTAGAAGTATATAGAAGCGTTCATGAAGAAATCCCATGCAGGAATGCACTGAAAGTCAATTCAATGTTCGGGAGAGTATATGCGCCTGAACCGATATCTGGTAAATAACACTGAACACGCTATAGGATACCTGACCGGGCTAGAATGCCGCTAACGTAGTATTAAAAGGCTTATTGTGGAAAGCCTAGGCAAGTGAAGCAGAAACCATCTGCTTTATCTGTGGATATGACACAAGTGGACGCATTACAACAAGGGTGAGAAAGATGAGTATACAAAGACGATGACTCTATTTCTTGTTTGTTTTTCTCGCAGCCGCTCCGCCACAGTCGAGCTCTCTAATGTACCCCAGAGACCTAAATAGCTACCACACAATTCTCCTGCTTCCTTAGGTCCTCCCGCGAAAAGCCGCAGGCAATTATAATGACAATCCTTTTGCATAGACTACGATTATGACCTACAAAACAGGGAAGGATTGCTACTCGATCCGTGCCGTACGATTCCTGAGATAGATTTCCACATTAGGGAACTCGCATCAAGATGAGAGGTCAAAGCACCACTTCTTAGGTTCTCTGACTGTGGTAGGTTGGCGTAGAGCAATGTGCATAGGTGTGAAGCCATTCTTTAACTATTAATATTGGCAGTTATTATACCCTGTTTAACCAAGACCTCTATACAGCAATGTTCCCAGCCGTTGCAAGAATCGTGGCATACTATATGTCCGTGAATCACAAGTCAACACATGTGAGCAATGAATTCATTATGCTCTGATAGCTTTTGAAACTACCGACATGGGAAGGTTAAGCGAGTGACTAAGTCATAATGATGCGGCAGCAGTTTAATAGCTTATGATGTGCCCCAAATCTGTGTATCCCCTGGATCCCGAGCCTCGTTGCCGGAAATGAGGGGTTATCGTCCCAATGCAGTCGCCCGCATGAGTGCGACAGGGAACCGCTGACCATAATTTGACAAGAGATAATGATGATATCCCTCCAGTGACAGAATTATATTTCGCAGACCAACTGCCCACTCGGTCGTGGCTGGATTTGTCTGGTGCGCGGGGAATGGAAATCCCGCCCGGTGCGAGACGTGGTAGCCGTAAGAGGCAGATAAATCTCAATCAGTACATGCTCTAGCATGTGTGAACGCTGGTAGCATTGCGTTCTGTGCTAGTATTCTGGCTTACCTATCGGCTGATAATGACGTGGCATTTATTACTGATGTCTGTGCGGGAAATCGCAGCGTAGATTGCAGGCAGTTAACAGGGGTTCGATACCTACCATTTGGATGAATTGGGCGGCCCAGGGGAATTCCGGGCTCCGGGATCTGCGAGTCAGTGGTTTCTGAAGAACAGCAACAAAAGGTGATGGGTTTCACTTGATTGGATGCCCTCTAAATGCCAACTGCACGCTAAAGCAAACCAGATTATCGATGATGGCTTACATTGGTGGCTTGCTGCAGGCCGGTGGATCGACGCGGAAGTGGCGGCGCATAGATTATTTGTTCGTACGTGGCATTGCGTTCTGTGGGGTTTCTGGGAGATCTAGTATAATCCCCCGTTGGAATTATCCTCTAATTTCAAACCTAAGACTGCTTATTTATATGGGTTAATTGAAGGTTAAATTCCGAGTTTAAGCTTCGCCTTCACTATGAAGACATGAACTCCACTACACATTCTCGAGTACAGGAATGGGGAGAAGACCATGCAAAACACCAATGCATTTCAACGGCAATCAATTCTTTTGTGCGAACATAACCAAGAGGATCATACCAGGCCTCATATTGGAGAACAATAAGGCCACGTCGGCGGCCCGGGCATACTACTTTAATAATGATGATATCGAGATGCATGTATGCCCATCGACACAATACTCCTTGCAGTGCCAACGAGTGACGCGCGAGCCTCGACTCAGCTCTTGATTGGCAGGTCAATCAAATTGAGACATTATGAGAAGTATGTACAGGTGCCTTGATACCATGGTACGATTATTATGCATACAGCTTGTGAGACTATATTCTTAGGAAGCTGGTTGGTCGTGCTCGACGACGTGGCCATCACATATCCATAAGGTAAGAGTATGCTACCTTTCAGCTCTGGACAATGGCTAATGTGTGTCCTATGCATAAATACCGCACCTCCAGTGTCACCCTTGCATCTATTCTTGCATGATAGATAGCTAGTTGAATCAGCTGAGGTAGGCGGGGTTAGCTTCAGAGTAGGGGAGGACCACTCCGTCGTGAGGGGATTATGGCAGGACTGACGGCGCGAGCGGAGCACTGGAGATTGAGGAGAAAATATAAATACAGAAGTCTGAGCCGGGACACTGTCTGACAGACAGACTCATCAACAACAACATGGGGGATCCAAGAAACGCAGGGGAGAATATCACTTCTCATAAGCTCATCAGCTCCTACTTCATTGGGCCAAGGGCTGAGAATATGGAAGATTTTGAAACCAATATCGCCGCCATCCTGGCAAAGATCAAAAACACTAGACTCAGCTATCAACCCAACACAGATGTATGTCTGCCGGCACTTCTATAGTACACGTAGTTTCTATGCCTTTACCTCTGACTGTCAAGCAGGGACAGGAGGATGTTTTCATTTCCAACGAGACCCGCACAAAGCTCAAGCCAATAAGGGATAATTTCACGGCTGCAGTCGGCCAGGCTGCCGAAACCCTGGGAAAACAATCAATACCCTTCTGGCATCCTCGGTACCAGGGCCACATGTGTACAGACATGACGATGCCTGGTCTTCTGGGTTACTTTATGACCATGATTTACAGCCCAAACAATGTCGCCGTAGAGGGAGGTCCTTTCACTACTGTCGTTGAGCTAAGAGTGGGAAAGCAATTGTGTAACATGTTTGGTTACAGCATAGATGAGGAGAAAAAGGGATATGCCTCTCTCCTGGGGTCACATTACATGTTATGGGACTGTAGCCAATCTTGAATCCATCTGGGTTGGTAAGTAAGCTTTCTATCGTTTGGTATGCACATCCAGCTTACTCATTCATCCGCAGCACGTAATCTAAAGTTTTATCCTCTCAGCCTGTATCATGCTATGAGAGAGGGACCTCTTGGGTTTATCGCTGACGATTTCTGGGTCAACACATGTGTTGGAGAAGAGAAGCTATTCAAAGATCTCGGCGTCTGGGAATTGCTCAACCTGCGTCCCGAACAAATCTTGGATATGGGAGAAGCTCTCTATCAGCAGTTTGGGATTACTTCCAAATATCTTGAGGAGGCTCTGAAGCCATTCAGCATTCAGACAACTGGAAAAGACGTGCTGGAAAACGAGTTCCGTATCAAGAAGCCGGCCAAGTATTTGCTCGCTCAGACACGGCATTACTCATGGCCGAAAGGCGGTGGTGCGTATAGTTTTCTTTGTTGCGCTTAATTTTAATCGCTAACGTGGGTAGCAATTGCCGGCATTGGGTCTGCAAATATGCAGGGCGTGGAGGTCGATATGGAAGGTCACATTTCTCTTGATGCCTTGGAAAAGGAGCTTAATCACTGCCTTGAACAACGGCAAGCTGTGTATGCCGTGGTAGCTGTTATTGGAACAATTGAAGAAGGTGCAGTTGATCAACTGCATGACATCTTGGCTATGCGTCGAAGGTTCCAGGACAGGGGGCTGTCATTCCTAGTGCATGCCGACGCTGCCTGGGGTGGGTACTTTGCAAGCATGATCCCCCGGGAAAGAATGAACTTGGCAGGACCTATCCAGCAAAGGGACAGGGAAGAGGCGGTTCAGAAAAATCCTCAACTGCCTTTGAGAGAGGACACGCTGAAAGACTTGATTGCGCTAAGAGAAGCCGATACCATTACGGTCGATCCCCACAAGGCGGGCTACATCCCCTATCCAGCGGGAAGTTTATGTTATCGGGATGACCGCATGCGGTTTTTTGTCACTTGGACCAGTCCATATTTGACTCAGGGCTCTATGGAGAATATTGGAGTTTATGGTGTAGAGGGCAGCAAGCCCGGTGCGGCTGCCATGGCAGCTTGGATGTCTAACCAGACAATTGGTCTAGATCCTACGGGATATGGCCGTCTTTTGGGCGAGGCAGCCTTTACTAGTGCGCGGGTATGACTCCCTCCCTGTGCATAGTCTGTCAGCTCTCTTCTAACTTCACCAGTTGTCTGTCTGTTATGCTGCCATGCATGCAGGGAATCCTCTCCATAACCGAAAATACATCATCGTACCCTTCAACCCGTTGCCAAAGGAGAAGGAAGGCTTCGATTGTTTGTCCGGCGAGGTTGACGTCGAACGCAGGAAGGTACTCGATTGTATCATCAACAGGACTGAGGCCGACATTGAGAGGGAGGGCTGGGATGCTCATTTGCCTTGGCTGCGACAGATCGGATCAGATCTCAACATCAATGCCTTCGCAATTAACTGGTATCGGAGTGATGGCACACTAAATAGAGACTTGGAAGAAGCCAACTATCTGATGAGGCGGGTGGTGAATAGACTTTCCATCACCTCTACCAGAGGAGATCCTCAGAGAGTACCGCTGTTTCTAACTTCAACGCAGTTTGAACCAGCTATGTATGGCCAATGCGCCCAAAATTTCATGCGGCGTCTAGGATTGGATGCCTGCGATCAGGACCTCTGGGTTATAAGAAACGTTGTGATGAGCCCCTTTCCCACCAGTCAAAAGTTCATCGGGTTTTTTAAAGGATACTTTCGAAAAGGAGATTATCGAGGGAGTGGACTGGTGTCGCAAGCGAAACAGTCTTGAAGATAAGAAAATAACGTTCCTTCTCCGGGGAACCGACAAAATCTTCCTTGATTTCCAGACGAGCTTCCACGCAGCGACCCAACGCCAGCAAATTATCTTGGAAGCCACGCTGATGCCAAAGAACACTGATTTGGCGTCCAGCAATGATGCAAAGATGAAAGTAAATAACGATTTCATTGATCTGAAGAGGAAAAACCCAGATAAGGTCTTTGCATTTGAATCGAGCAGCACCGTGAATCTAGAAGCGCTGATCAAAGGAATTGAGGAAGGACCGCGAATTGTTGGAGGTTCGATTAGTGCCCCTGGCCTTGATCCAGAATCGACTATTGAATGCCGCATGGAGATGAAGCGGGTTGTCATAAGCCGTCCTTTGAATTCAACCAATCGCGACGACCATTACCCACGACACCTTATGCCATTTTATCTATATGGCTCGCAAAATGAATTTCATATCTCACATATGCTGCTCCAAGCACCAAATGTGAATTTGTCTGCCTGCGGCGTTACCTTCACCGAAGCCTTGCCTCAAAGAGTGCTCGCTCTGCTGGAACGTAGAGCTCTGATCCTCACATTGACCGAGTACCGTGAGGAAACAATGCATCCACTCCCAGAGACAAACAGTGCTATTCTCGAGAACGATAATTTTTTCTTCCGCCCCGGACAAAGGTTTCAGGTAAAGATCTTTGAAGATCATAAGGAGCCTAATGCAAAAGGCCCGGGATTGATTGACAACCTCCGTTTTCCAATTGCACGAGAGGAGATGACGCTAAACAGTGATGTTCACGTCGATGTAGAGGCTCTGAACAAGGATCCTCTGGAAGAAGAGCAAGTAGGTACTTCGTGGGAGTCTGAGTTGGACCAAGTCAGAGAAGTCTTGAATTATGGACACGTTGCGGCAATGAATGCTGCTAATGCTGCTATTGCTGCTAATGCTGGAGGTGCTGAATGTGATGAAAGTGATTAAGGTGCTGAAGGTGCTGGAGATGCTAGAAATCCTGAACCTGGCGAGAAAATTATGGAGGTTGATGTTTGATAGTGATTTCGGGGGTAACAAAGCCTGTAATAGGAAAACAGGCCCTCCCTACAACCTACGTAAAAAAAACATGAAGTTTGACATTCTCCTTTAAGACCACAATATAGCTAGGGACAGCTATCAGGAGGGGGGGATTAGGAAAAAAGAAGTTGTACACATATCTCTCGGTCGCCTGGCTGACCAGACGCGACATATCGTCTTGTGTCTAGCGGTTAGTGCTTCGACAGAAAATTCGGCCAACAATCTTAGAGAGTACATGAGTTTATCCCTGCAACCTGTGCCCAGTCAAACAGCGCAAGAAGACCTATAAGATAAGTTATTCATGTGGTGGATTTGTCTATCCTGTGGCGGAGAAATTGTATAATTGGCGAGGTTTCGTTTAACCCCGATCTCTCCCCCGATTACTTCGTTCCTCAATGCAGTCCCACTACCCTGAGGAAAATGCATGTAGCTAACGTGTTGAAATCAGAGCTCCATCAGCTAAACTACCTTGGAAGCCTTTCTAGACTAGATTGTATGAATCTCTCAATGACTGCGCATATAGGTGCCAAATTGGTATGGGAGGTGGATATCTTACAGACTTGAATATATTAGTCACACTATAAACTACTAAAAAGTCGCTCTTCCATTATTATTCAACGGGACGTCTCTGGCTTGTCTCTCGCTCCCTATCTCTTTCTCTTTCTCTTTACTTTTCTTTTCTTTGACCTCCCCCGTTGAGACAAATACATGAGGATGTACCAAACATACTAATATTCTTCATCCATTCTGATCCTACAAGGCTACGTTCAATGCCATCTACTAACTCGTGCATATTCATATGCTTCCTCTGAATAGTCCTCCCATTCCTCACCACTTGGGCATGGATTATCAGACACCTTCCGTGCAGTAAAAGTTATCCCAGAGCCAACACAGGGAAACACAGCCTCTGCAGTGAAGGCGGCGAAATTTTCATCGCTAAACTTGATAGTGCCGTACTCTGGTTCGAAAAAGATCTGACCTTCACCAGTTTCACAGCATCTGAGCTTTAACCGGTACATGTAGGGCTCGCTCGTCCTCTCCCCTTTGGCTTTCTTCGACGGCCTGCTCTGTTTCCGGGCGATTTTCTTTCTCTTAGTTCCTTTTCCAATTTTTTCATGATCGTCGCCAATCTCCTCTTCGTCGGTCTCAGTGATATGCTCCTCAGATATGACCATAACGCCTATCACTACACCAAAATTGAATGTAGCGTGAAATTTCCCCTTTTGTTGTGTGTCCAAAATCTCAAGTACCATGTCCCACGCTAGACTGGGCCAGCCACCCTCAATGTCCTCACAGTCAACGATATAACTCCCGACCGGCGATTTATTCCTTCCCGCAGCGCCCTTCATCCGTTCGAGAGCCGCAAGGTAGTCGGCATGCATTTTCGCGCGTTCTTTTTCCCTCTTCTGTTCCCGAGCCTGAATCTCGGTCATTTCATTATTTGCATGTTCCTTAGCTGCTTCTCGAACAGTAGACTTATCCCATCCCAAGAATATTGTCTATGTCTCCGGCCCCACACCAGTATCATGATGCAAGCCCGCCACCTGATCAGCAGCTTCACGCAAGCGCCCTGGACGATACTCGCTATATCGAGGAAAGGAAATCCCGACGACAGTGCTTGTCCTAGTCTGGTATGGATCTGGTTCCCCAGCTCTTATGAAGAACTTTTTTATCACCCACTCAGGGTTGGGAGACAGCACCTCGATATCACTTGCAGCAATCCATTCCTGATGCAGCTGCTCCTCCAGGGCCAGGATGTGTACGGGCACATTGTCGCACTTTCCTTCTTGCAGCACTTTCTTCATCAGCTGCGTTCCGTTTCCTGATAGTTGGTCTTCCTCGAAAGGCACTCCATAGTGTTGTAGTTGGCTGCGGACAAAATCGGTGCGGTCTCGCAGGATCTTTTGACCTTCGCGGCTGAGCTTGGGTAGAAACAGTTTTCGGAGAGAGAAACTATCTACTCGTTCATTGCCTCCGCGTGTAGTGCGGAACCGGCCGAATGAAGAGGTGAAACCAGCGCGGGTGGCGGCGTTGTCATAGGACATGGCGGGCTGTGTGAGCCGATTTGGTGGGTTTTGCGGGTGTCTGGAGGTGTTTTCAATAGATTTATTAGATATGGTTAGTTTGAAAGGCGCGAGATTTTAAAAGAGAGGGAGAAAGTGGACGGAGGTTGCTTCCGCCACATACAGCGTAGCCCGGAGAGGAGGGGGGGGGATGATGATGCAGTCTGAAGTAATGCGACCATCAGCTACCATTCCTGTAGAGAGAACCATGTCACGCAATAAATAATCAGCGCATACATTTCTATTCAGGAATCAATGTCTCGACGCAAGTAGCACGTACAGACACCAAGTGCAGATAAGCTGCGCACTCATCATTGCACCCCGGATACTGCCTGAAGAAGGACGAATGACTGGGACAATTATATAACCGTAAGGCTTTATTAGGCTAATATTCAAATATACATAACTATTCGCTTGAATTAGATCAATAAGTCGAGAGGTTGTGTGCGGTTCGGATCTTTCAGCTGGTATCGAGTGCGGTCTGGCCCAAATGTGGATGTCGATGTCACATACTTCTGGTCGGTAGGTGAAAGTTCGGGCCAGCTGACGAAGTACTCGATGTGATACGTTGTAAGGGTACAGAGGCATCGTCAAGCATTCGAAATAGAGCTTGCGCCTTGAGGTACCCCTCGGCTACACATAAACAGCTTTAGTTCTGTTTGTCTGTCCGACGATCGAACCCCTTCTAGCCCATGCGTTTTAACATTATTCAGTGCAATGAGCCGCATGACTCAGGATAACCCTGCTTTGTTCATTCTATGACAAGTTTCATTGTCATTTCAAAGGATTGGGAAAAAAGAGACAGAATCATTCCTAGAAGGTACTTGCTACTTAGCGACTGCTAGCATTCTATTGCATGTCTCGAGACTTGTGTCAAATGAACGGGTTCTTAACGCTAAAAACAAACATACCAAAGGAAATAAAAGAATCGCGAGATCACTGGGCTTGCAGCAGGGGCCAATTCCAAAGCTCATCATTGCAAGGAAAGCCGCCCCCCGAAACAGAGCAAGCCTATAGGCACTCTATGACGTGTGAAATGACAGCCAGATCTTACGCAGCCTCGGCAACCGGGGTCCCCATGCGTCCCTCCTCAGCCAGTTTCTCCTTGTTCATGGTGTCAGGGCGGGCATCGTTGGGCTCAGAGGAGCGTTTCTCTACAATGGTCGTCTCGTCCGAATTCCTCGTACGGGCAGCCTCTTCTAAAAGGTGTCAGCATGTATTCGTCATGAGAATGACACATCACGTTAAGACGACACGACTTACCAGGTTCAGGCTCCTTGGGCGGGGGGCAGTAAAAGCCGACAGCGAGGCAGATAATCATAAGGAAAATCTCCTCGAGGACGCCCATGCATAGATTGACCGTGGGGTTGGGCTCGAACAGGTTGAACTTCTCGATATTCGTGAAATCACCCAAGCAGCCGTAAATAGTGCGCACAATAAGCAGTGGTGCACAGGCGTATACTGAGTACAGGATGATCCTCTCGTTGCGAGGCATCTCGTTGCGGTAGATGGTCAGGTACGCCATAATGGCCAGTAGGAGACCCAAGCAGCCGACGAACATGCCCAGTGCGGCTTGGAGCATAGCGGGGATGGTGTAGGTGTCGAGGGCCTTGATAGCGCCGGCAATACCCAGGGCCAGTCCGACCAAGCTGACGATGCTGACAAATATGAAGATCCATTTAGAGAGCTTGTTGATCGAGGCGTTGCTGAACGAAACATGCCTACGTCAGTCTCAAGTCACGCATAGGTGGATATCAGTTTGCGACTTACACTCTTTGGAGCAAACCCACGGCAGCCAGGGTTAGCGGCGCGATTCCCAACAAGTCGCATGTGATTTTTGTAGTGATCACATCGATCGAAGGGTCAGTGATGCTGATGAGCTGGCATATAGCGCCGGCGATTCGTAAACAGGCGAGGATAATGAGGAATCGCCAACATGATGCCACGGCCTTCATTCCTTGCTGATAACACAAAAGAAGGGCGAGGAAGAGACAGGGCACGAAGGCGATGAGCTGCAACAACGCGATACCATCTTCATAGCGAAACGTCATCTTGGATGGAGAGGGGTCGGAGAGGCGATTATGGTGGGCAGGTAGCTATGTCGCTGATGGGGCAATCGCAATCTGGATGATAAGGTTGGGGCAGATATTGAAGGCCCTGGAAAACTGGTATGATCTGATGAAACGAGTCGGAAGGATAAGGATATAACGATGCGAAGATAGTAAATAAATGAATCCAACGTCCGGGGTAAAATAAGAGAGCGGTCTCCCGTGGTGGCGCAGGTGTATGATGAAAAGATTGCAATGTGTTCGGGCTGTGCACTCGAATATAGATGATGGTGAGGCATTCTATGACAATTTGAGGGTTTCGGGCATCTCCATGTGGAACAACTTAACATCGAGCATACCGTATTAGGAATAGGTTCAAGATGTGGCGGCGGTGGATAGCTGCCGGCTAGTCTATTTCCTATTGGGTTTAGTCCCCTGAGATCTCCTTTGGTGGGTCATCTTGTGCCGCTAACCCTTTTCCGTCACGCGTTCCTTCCTTTTACCGGAACTTCGAGCTGTCCATTTTGGGTAACATTTCCCCATCCCCCATAACTCTTGTCCGGTAATCCTCCATTTTCATACGTCCAAAGCACTCTCTTACCTCGCACTCGATGCTAAATCTAGTATGCGGCCTATGTCGTTCGCAAAGCCACACGATCTACGTAGCTAGCCCACCCTTAAGGCTTGTTCGTCATGGCTGAAGCATTGCCACTAAAAGTTGCGGTCACCTGATCTCACAAGCTGCCCACTAGCCCTCATTAGTGAGATTAAGCCTACTAGAAACACGTGCAATTACCGTCTCCTTCCTTTTAACAAACAAGCCTAATATCTTACTGGGGGCCACTTCTAGAAACCTGCGTTATCCACCCTACTTTGTCGTTTTCCGGCGGGACTAGCACTCTTCATGATCGTTACTACATCCAGACAATGTCAGTCCGGAGGATCATGAATTGGAATTGGGTTTCTTCGTGTAGCGATCCTCCAGGAACACTGCTGATACCATGATGGCAATTCCTCTATATATAAAGGACAACAAGGCACGACGCCTGCTTTGTGGGGATGAACATGTTTTGAATATCCATCATCTCGGCGTTTCCTCACTTTGGCCTTCTCATTCTTTACACGTCTAGCCGGCTTTTCGTTTTATTTCACTCCTTTCATCACCCAAGAAACATAAGAGATCAATTCAGCATAATGACCGAGACAGAGCAGCGTCAGCTTGCATATTGGAAGGAGCAGCTTGAGGGAAGCCAGCCCGCGGAGCTCCTCTGCGACAAGCCCCGGTCGGCCATCTCCTCTGGCAAGGCGCAGGTCCACCACTTCACCCTCAATGACCAGCTTTACCGAGAGCTCCAGACCTTTTGCCAGACACACCAGTCCACTCCCTTTGTGGTGCTCCTCGCCGCTTTCAGGGCGACACACTACCGCCTCACCGGAGTCGACGATGCCACCATTGGCACCCCCATCCTCAGCAACACTAACATCCTATGCATCCGCACCACCATCGAGCCAGAGGACTCCTTTTATGCGCTCGTTCAACGGGTTCAGCAGACCACCAGCACGGCATCCACCCATCAGGATGTTGCCTTCCAGAAGATCGTCTCGGAGCTGTGTCCTGGCGCCGCCGACCGGTCTCGTAACCCGCTCGTTCAGACGATATTTGCAGTTCACTCGTCAGAAGATGCCAACAGCCCACAGCTCGACAGTATGAAGGCAGCCACGTCCAAGTATGACATTGAATTCCATCTCGTCCAAAAGGCTCAGCGTATGAGCGGTCACATCATCTTCTCGGATGACCTGTTTGAAGCTTCGTCCATCCGCCTCGTCGAGTCCGTCTTCAGTGAGGTCCTCGGCCGTGGCGTCAAGACACCCGAGGCCCTCGTCTCAACAATGCCTCTTACCCAGGGCCTCTCCGCACTAGCCGATATGGGCCTCACAGATGTTGCGCGCACCGATTACCCGCGCGACTCCAGCGTCGTCGAACTCTTCCGGAGACAGGTCTCTCTCAGCCCTAACGCCGTTGCCGTCAAGAATGCAGACTCGTCTTCTCAGCTCACGTACGCGGAACTGGACCGGCAATCGGACCGGCTCGCCCACTGGCTGGTCCAGCGTGGGCTCGCCCCAGAGACTATGGTCGCAGTGCTGGCACCGCGGTCGTGCGAGACAATTATGGCTTTGTTGGCCATTCTCAAGGCTAATCTGGCCTATTTGCCTCTCGACGTCAACGTTCCCGTTGGCCGCCTCGAGAGCATTCTCTCTGCGGTCGAGGGAGACAAGCTCGTCCTTCTCGGCGCTGGCGTCGCGCCTCCCGCTCTGCAGCTCAAGGACGTGAGCTTCCGCCACATTGCCCAGGCCCTAGACGAGCAAGGCCAGCACTTTGCTGGCGCTCTGCCGAATCCCACGGCTTCTAGCCTCGCATACGTCATGTTCACGTCCGGGTCAACGGGCAAGCCCAAGGGTGTCCAAGTGGAGCACCGCGGCATCGTGCGCCTAGTGCGCGAGACCAATGTGGCCTCCAAGACGCAGTCAAGTGGCAACATTGCGCACGTTGCCAACCTGGCCTTTGACGCCGCGACGTGGGAGATCTACGCCGCGCTGCTCAACGGCGGTACGATCGTCTGCATCGACTATATGACGGTCATCGACCCGGTGACCCTGGGACAGGTGCTGCAGCGGGAGGCCGTGCGTTCCTGCATGCTCACGCCTGCCCTCCTCAAGCAGTGCCTCGCCAATGCCCCATATGCTCTTTCCGGTCTGGAACTACTCTTCGCTGCCGGAGACCGTCTCGATCCTCGCGATGCTGCCCAAGCCAAGAGCATTATCAAGGGTGACCTCGTTAACGCTTACGGTCCAACCGAGAACACCACTTTCAGCACCATCTACAAAGTCCCGGCCAACGAGAAGTGTGTCAATGGCATGCCTATCGGGGTGACCATCAGCAACTCGGGCGCTTTCATCATGGATCCCGAGCAGCGCCTCGTTCCTCCTGGCGTCATGGGTGAGCTCATCGTCACTGGTGACGGTCTTGCCCGTGGATACACCGATTCGAGGCTCAACAAGAACCGCTTCGTGCAGGTGGTTATCAACGGCGAGTCTGTCCGCGCCTACCGCACCGGTGACCGAGTGCGCCACCGTCCTTCGGACGGCATGATCGAATTTTTTGGCCGTATGGACTTCCAGGTCAAGATCCGTGGTCACCGCG